CGCCTTTGACTGGTATTGCTCCCTTGAAGGGGTTGTTGTGCCTAGTTGGGAAGCCATGAAGAACGGTTTTCTAGAATCCCAATGCTTTTATCGGCATGACTCTTGGTATCTAAGAAATGGGAGAAGAATGCAGCTCCAGAAAGATGAAGTGACTGATGATGATGATCACCCTACAGCTGGACTAGTTAACACGGTCCGGATAAGTGATGGAACAAAAGAAGTTGAGGTCAATGAAAAATCTGTTGCTGAAGTATGCTAGACTTACTTAACCTGCCGGAGAAGATCACGAAATCCTCAGGACCCTCAGGCATCAGAAGTTTCGCAGGTTTGGCTGGAGGAAGAGCAAGTGAAAAATGATGTACTAGCTCATCTTAAGAAAATTCTAGCATTGTTGAGCGTGTATGATGCACTGAAGATGTCTCCAGAGCTTCGAAAGTCTTTAATATATGCCTTGTCCAAGCCAAAGGACTTCCACAAAGAAATCGAGGGTAGGAATCAAGAGAAGACAAATACATGCACGGCTATGGTAACATTTGGTGACAATGACATGTGTGCTGAAATAGCGGACCATAATCGTCCTTTGTTTATCACTGGACTTATCCATGATGTGAAAATTTCTCGAGTTATGGTTGAAGGAGGGTTTGCTGTAAACCTTTTGCCTCGAAGGGCTATTAGGGGTTTGACTTTCACAACTTTACCCAAGTCGTCTGATCATTCAAGGATTCAATCAGAATGAACAACGCCCTACGTGGAAGATTGAATTGCGAACCAAGTTTGGGGACATTGAAGAAAGCGCTGAGTTTTTGGTCATTGATGTAGACACCTCCTACAATGCTTTGCTTGGGAGATTGTGGATGCATAATCATTAGGCCGTACCATCAACTTTTCACCAATGTATCAAGTACCCGTTGCCTTCACCCAGAAAAGAGGGGACAATTGTGGTTGACAGTGATCCACTTGGAGAAGTAGAGGCCTATTATGTTGATGCCCGCTTCTATATAAGGACTACACAAATAAAGGGAAAAGATGTGAAAAGGTCTAAAAATACTCCATATGTTAAAGAATCTAAAGACGCTCTAGAGCCTGCTCTGGTTTCAACAAGGAGAACTTTTTGATATGTGCCAAAGTCCAAAAAAAGACTAGGGGCAAAGGCTCTAGCCCCAATAAACCCAATTTTGGATCTGAAGGGTGAGTTCATGTTGCCATTACAGAGGACAGAATGTACATATGTGGAGAAATACAATAAAATCGTGGTCCCTACTAAAGGAAAAGGGTGGAAACCCATCATATTCCACTCACTTGGAGATGTTGAACACAAGGTAAAAGTTAAACAAATACCAGAAGAAAACATCTCGAGTTTTGAGAAGCCTACCTTCAATGCAATAATTATGCAGATGTTAAAGGTTGGTTTAGATCCTGAAAAAATACCAGCAGGAACAATAACACCATTTGACACTGCATTGACACCTTCGCAGAGGCAAGCTATCCAACAAGGCGGTACTATCACCAACAGGACAGAAAGGTTAGGCTATCACGAGGATGAAAGAAAATTTCCAGTGAACATGACTATTACTCAAGAGGTGTAGGAAGATGTTGACGAAGATGAAGCTCAACCTGCACCAACAGAATTTGAAGCAGGAGGCCAAGCCACAGTCGATGACCTTCGTAAGGTAAATCTTGGTGATGAAGGAGAAAATAAATGAATCTTCATTAGTGCAAATTTAAAGGAAGAAGAGGCTCAACAATATATTTCCTTCTTAAGGGAGTATTGCGACATGTTCGCATGGAACTATAGTGAGATGCTTGGTCTTGATCCAGAGATTAAAGTCCATAAGCTCGCTATTCACCCTGAGAAATAGCCAGTTAAACAACCTTAACAGCAAACTCGACTAGAGCTTACAACCCAAATTGAAGCTAAAGTCGACAAGCTTACCAATGCAAAATTCATTAGGGAAGTCAAATATCCAACTTGGCTAGCAAACAGTGCTAGTCAAGAAAAAGTATAGTCAAAAAGGGTTTGCATTGATTTCCGTGATCTCAATGAGGCTTGTCCTAAAGATGACTTTCCTTTGCCAATCACCGAACTTCTTGTAGATGCAACTACTGGGTATGAAACCTCCATATTATGATGAAGAAAGCATACCTAATTTAAAGAAGTTTGAAGGGATTCTTTTGTGTTTTCTTTAAAGTGTAAGAAGAACAACTTTTGTTGGGAAGAGAAGAAAGAGAATGGCTGGAAAATTGATGCTGGAAATATGCTGGAAGGATAAAGATTTGCTGGAAAAAAAAAAAAAAAAATCTGCTGGGAAAGTTGCAGAAGGTAAAAGTATATATTGTCTACATGCATGGATAGGTGTCATATAAAGCAAAAAGTCTTGCTCAAGAAAAGAGATAGTGATCTCCTAAAATAGTTCAAAGAGGCAAGAGTTTATGTGGGATTCGAAACACTCCAAAGAAGCAGGAATTTGTGTAGGATTAGAAATCCTACCAATGCCCATCCATCCTATTTCATTTAAGCAAAATCCTTTAAAAAAAAAAAAGATTATGAGTCTCATAAATAAATATAAAAAAAACTCTTGCCAAAAAAATAAAAAAAACAAAAGAGTGGTGGTGGCAAGTTGGTAAAAAGCCCACATAGAATGAAGAAAGAGGCCCACAAAAGAAAAGGCCCAATTAAATCTTGGACCTTACCCATCAATATCCATGATGGCCTAGAAAAAAAAAAAGTGGTGGCAAGTTGGTAAAAAGTCCACATAGAATGAAGAAAGAGGCCCACAAAAGGAAAGGCCCAGTTAAATCTTGGACCTTTACCCATGACCCTTAAAAAAAAAAAAAAATTCAAGTCCACAAAAAGGGTCCATGTAACAAAAAAAATAAAAAGCCCATGGACTATAAAGAGCAATTAACCCATTAAAAAAAAAATTAAGTCCATGAAAAGAGGGCCCATGCAACAAAAATAAAAGGCCCATGGACTATAAAGAGCAATTAACCCATAAAATAAAATATATATATAAAAAAAGAGGATTAATTAAATTCTTTGCAGGGTCCATGTATGACAAAAAAGAGGGATACAAAGTCAAAGGGGCTGAAAGTGATGAAAGCCAAGAAATAATCCAATCTATGATCTAAAGAAGTCCTAAATAAAAGCGCCAAGATGTTGTGATTTGCACAGTTAAAAAATTCACTGGAACAAATCACGAGAGAGCATTTGTTGGCACATAAATTTCGACCAAATTTATGTTAAAATTTCAAATACGGTTAATTAGTCAATGACACGTATAGAGCCTATGATAAGAATGTTGTAGCTAATCACTTCCTAAAAAAATCAATATAATCCGTTGAAGTGCATAAATCTAAGAAGTATGGACACTTCTAAGAAGGTGTCGTGTCTGTGTCGGGACACTGACACTTCCCTGACACGCGTCCGACACTCTTCAAAACGTGTCTTATTTTTTAATTTTTTTTAAAGACTCTGACACTTGGAGGACACATGTGTCTATCACTTAAACACACAATTAGACACAAGTGAAACTAATTACAAGTTTGAACAAAACAACTTAAGATATAATAATAAAAGAAAAACCATATAAATTTTTAGGAATTAGTGTCATATTGCATTTTTTTATTATCTTTAAGTGATATATTCATATATATAACATATAATAAATATATAAAATTATATATTTCATGCATGTCCCTCACATGTCGTGTCCTGCATTTTTTGAAAATTAGTATATCAGTGTGTCCGTGTCGTATCTGTGTTGTGTTGCGTGTCCATATCTATGCTTCTTTGGCATAAATAAAACAATGTCGTATCTCAAGACGTTATTCAAAATACTCAAATAACACGTGGAGCTTACGAAAGATGACACTTGTAGAGCCTACAGAAAGGGCACCACACAGGATGAAACCCAAAAGATCAACCCAGTTAATCAAATATATGATTAATCATATAGCACTATTATTCAAAATTCAAATGGCGCTATCATTCAATTTGAAATTCTGAGACACTTTTATTACTTAGATGGCCCTCTATAAATATAAGGACCATCACACAAGAGAGGGGATCTAAAAAACAGAAGTGAGAATATCAGAGAGAAAGAGAAAGAAATTCAGAGCAAAAGAAGTCGCTACAAGAAAGAAGAAGTCGAGAGCTTACACTACACTGCAAGCATCTGATACGATGGCGAGCGTTAGGTAAAGGGTTCCAAACTCAACTATTGTATTTTGTATCTAAGGATTCTAAATCCCTACAATTTCAATAAAACATTTCTTTTTCTTAATTTGTCTTCTGTTCATTTTTTTTGTTCTTCATTAATCGGAGGTCTCATTTAAATAAAATGTGTAATTAACGATCAGAAATATAGATCAGAAATAGGAACCTACTATTCAAATACTCAACATTTTTAGTCCAAAAAAACTAAACAGTGGACATTTGTAACATGAGTTTTGAAATGTGTTGAAATACTTCACGTTTCAAAATTTGTGTCTACATGCATACAAGGTGCATTCCATTCATCATAAATTGCCACCAAAAGATACCCCTCTCTTGCTTGTGTCCTTGAGCAATAAAAGTTTGAACACAATAAATTCAAAATGACGACAATTTATCATTTCAATCTATAAAGAGTTAAATTTTGAAAGCAAAGCAAATGTTTCAATCCAAATTTCCTTTAAATGGAAGAAAATTAACTATCCAATCATGAACTTATTTGTCTATCCAACATTCTTCAAAGCTTTAAGTAACAAGCAGTTGCTTTAACATTCATGCCAAAGGTTTTACAAGAACAGGGGAACAAGCAAAAAATGATGAGGGATAAAGTGGCTGGGAAATCACCTAATGATTGTGAGATGAAAACATGTTCAATATTCGATGTGCTACCCCTTGGTATAAGATAGCTTACAACTCCAAAATCTAATGGGACCAAATGCAAAACTTCCATGTGATGCATTTTAATTAGGAACAAAAGAAGTTCAATCAGGACATCAGAATCACTCACTGTGACATGGAGCTCGCCTCCTTATACAATTGCTTAATTTCTGCGTGCAATTGGGCCTCCACACCAGACTTTGACCCTTTCTGAGAAAAAACAAATAACCAAAATACAAACCATTTTAAAATAGCTTCCATTAAAGATTTTTAAACAACTAGTAAAGATTTTTAAATAGCTTCCATTTAAATAACTAGTAAAGATTTTTAAATAAGAATAATGAAAATAAAAAATGTATTTGAAGACGGGTCCTCCTAACCACTGTTCGGAAGGCGTGTTTTAAGGATCAAATAATGCTAAAAGTTTAGAACTCCAATACACAATTCACATATTCCCATACATTTTTGAGTGGTGATTAAGACCTCTAATAATAGAGCTCTAATAAGAGCACTAGTGACGTGGCAACTTGAAAAAAAAAAAGAAAAAAAAAAACAAAGGCCAAAAAATCAAATCACACACCGGGACCCACAGATTAGAGCTCTTCTAGAGCTCACAATTTAGAGGTCTAAAACATTTTTGTACATTTTTATATGTTTCTACTTTCTATACACTTTTCACATATTTCAATACACTTTTTCCACATATACCAATCTTAATGGACGCCCATTGGTGGTGTTAGCATTTCCCTTTGAATAAATAACCTGATAAGTGATAATATAAAATCATTGCACTTTTGTGAATAGATGTTGTTGTTTTCTCATAATTGCATTGTAAATGAGAATTAAGATTATGTCAAATATATATACATATATATATATATATTTATATGGAGAGAGAGGGAGGTAAAAGGCCCAACAATTTGTTATTAGTAAAATTCTTAGCAATCTGTTACGATGAATTTCATTTGTTATTTTCACCTCATGGCATGAACACATGTAAAACCCACCATATCCAAAAGATAATGGTCCGCAAGCATAATTCAAACACCCAAGCCTATTTTTATCCAATATGGGATGATCATAACATACCACCACACTCTGCAGCCAACACTCATGATAGCCCACTCTATCAAATTGTACCCATACACCCGAAGCCGACATCCACAGTAGCCCAACCTATTGAACTATACCCATACACAATACTAAGGTGTCGTAATCCAGCCTATAGGTCACCCCCTCCCTGGCTCAAACTGCAAAGCCACATCCCATACAATCACATACGTGCATAGGTTGCATCCAATCATATACTCAATTTGGTGGCTGGCTCTGATACCAAATGATACAATCTACTTAGATAGAACTCACCCTTGAAAAAATACTCTAAAGCCCATTGTTAACCCATGTGGGATTGTAAACATGTATACATATGTTTGTGTGCGTGTGTATATATATATATATATAGAGAGAGAGAGAGAGAGGCATATTAGATAGCTTAGCGTTCAGCTACTGGTTCTGTATGAATTACATGGTAACATTTACAGTAAATTGAAATGGAAATTAGACAAATTTTATATAACAATGTGATAGCATACCCAAAACATATTGAAAAACAACGAGTATTGGCCAAGTCCTAAATTACAAAATGAATGAAGAGGAAAAAGGCAAGAGCAGAGACAAAGGAACCTTTTTCTTCTGTTCTATAAATCTGAAAATGAATTGGAATGCGACAACGATGGTGAAGATTATTGGAGCAGCTAGAGATCTTCCATGTTCTTCAATGGTTTCATCCATTACTCCTTTTGCCTTGTTCGATTACGTGTTTCTGATGCAAATTTGATGGTTTTTCGTCTCCAGATCTCTCTATTGCTTCTTTTGCGAATTTTACCTGTTTGGTTAAGGTACTTTTTTTTTTTTAAATATATATATTTTAATTTTGTTTTAGGATTTGGTGGACTTTTTTTTTTTGGGTGAATAATTTGGTGGACTTTTTGTGTTACTCTCAATTTTTTTTATTAATTGAAATGGTGTGCATGTAAAATTAAATATTACTAATTAAAATGATAATTAGTGAAATGAAAAATATGAATTAGTATAATAGAGTGAGAAGAAATAGAGATAACCTTGTATGTTTTGGCAGAAAATATTTTCAAATGAAAAATATTTTTTGAATAAAATATATATATTTTTGTGTTTGGTAACAGTGGTGGTGAAACGAAGAGAGATGAATGTGGATGAATGGTGGTGGGGTGGTGGTGATAGCGACGGTGATGGTGGCAATGACCGTGGTGATGGTGGTGGAGGTGAGAGTGATGATAGTAATGGTAAGTCTTTAGTTCAAAAAACATTTTTTAGAAAATATTTTTCGCCCAAACAAAAGAAATAAAAAAGTAAATACTATAAATTAAATATGTAAATAAAATAAAATTATATAATTCATTAAATCATCATATCATCATATATACATGTAATGTTTTTCTTTTTTTATGTGACACATTCTAAAGACTTACTTTTTTTTTCCCTAAAAAAGTCACATCAGCATGTATATTTTATTTACATATAAAATTCTACACAAATTTAATTTCAATTATAATAATCAATTTTATATGGACTCTATTTGAGAAATACTTATTTTCCATATGTATTGACATGGGTAGACCCATAAAGGCTATAGCCCACTATGAACAATCAAAGCCCACCACTTAAGGCCCAATACATAATTCAACTGATGAGACCCAACTTGGCTGGAAGTCAACATGGCATTAAAGACCAATGACACTTAGACACGTGACAGGTGAAGGACAAGCCATATAAGCAGACAAAGATCCTGCAAAGTTATTGCACTGCACATCAGCCATTAATGAAGCCCCTTACAGCATTTATTGCGACAAGTCCTCCCCGTCGAGACAGAACGGCCTCACATGAACAAGGTAAGCTAGGGCATAGACTTTCGGCTATGGCGACAGGTCGGAAGGGACAACGAAATGATTACCAGAGGATATAAGCAGACGTCGAAGACAAGAAGAAGGTTAAGCTTTTTATCTCTAATCTATCTCTATACTCCACTTCTCTTTCTAACTTGCTCGTCGGAGGGTTCACTAGGGGACTCCCCGTTCCTCGTTGGACTCATGTGCAGGTCTTCTGGTGGGCTTGGTCATTTGGACGCGGGTTCTTGAAGTGTGGATTAGTCCGACCCGTTCCATCTGGAACACGCTGTATCATCAGTTGGCGCCGTCTGTGAGAACCTTTTGCTCCACGCGACAGTTGTGCTCATTGTCGCTGGAGACCCTTTTCCAATAACTCCTTCCTACCACCTGCGAAGGTGGATGGTCACAACTAGATCCATGGCTTCCCACCCCAATGTTCCCGACCACCAAGCCGACCCTCTCAATCCAAACAACTCACCACAGTACTTTACCGAGCTCACCAACAGCATTAACCGCCTGGCCGAGCAAAACCAAGCTTTGATTAATGCTCTACTCCAAAGAAACCTTCCCATGCCTCCTCCACCACCTCCAGATATTTCACTCAACCAAGAACGAGCCCCGAGCCATACTATCCAGCAGCCTTATCCACCCAACTTGGAAGGCTTGCGACCCCCTCCCCTAGATATAAATCTGCCACCCCGGGCCCCGCATCCATCGGTCCCAGCACCAACCCCTGAAGGAGAGGCTAGTAGCGTCCAGCCCCCGTTGCCTTCTGGTGGTGACAACATTCCTCTTTGGGATGTAGAACTCCGAGCCATGAAGCTCCAGCTCCAAGGAGTCATGTAGAACATATAACATAAACCATCTACCACAGCCAACTCCCCATTCGTTGTCTCCATCAGGGACAAACCTTTACCCCCCAAGTTTAAAATGCCCACAATCGACTCTTTCGACAGTACATCGGACCCAGTCGATCACTTGGAGACCTACAAAACCCTCATGATCCTCCATACATTCCTCGATGAAATCATGTGTCGGGCTTTCCCCGTAACACTCAAGGGGTCGGCTCAACTCTAGTTTAGTCAACTGCCAACAGACTCTGTTTCCACTTTCCAGCACCTTAGTGACTCTTTTTTCAGCCATTTCATTGGAGCCCAGCGCTAGCGGTGTCCGGCAACCCAGCTTCTCAACATCCGTCAGACTAAGGGGGAGTCGCTGCGCAGCTTTGTCACTCGCTTCAATACCGAAGCCCTGCAGGTGGCGAAAACGATGACAAGGTCATCCTCATGGCGTTCATGGCCGGCCTACGATCATCTGATTTCCTTTTCTCCCTCTCCAAAAACCCCCCGACCTCCATGGCAACCCTACTTTCCAAAGCCCAAAAATACATGAACGCCGAAGATTCCCTAGCCGCTCGCCAAGATCTTATAGCCAAAAACCCGACCCCCAGAGAGAAGAGAAAGGACTCAGAAACCAAAAACACCCAGTACAATAACCAAACACCTCAATATACCGACCGACCCCCCCGAGCCGACCAGACCGCCCGGCCGGTTCGAACGGTACACACCCCTCAATTCCCCCATGGAACAAGTCCTCAATCAGATCCAACGAGACTACCCCCTGAAATGGCCCCAACCATCACGGTCTCCTTCCAATCGGCGAGACCAATCCAAATACTGTTGTTTTCACTCGGACCACGGCCATAATACCGAGGATGTTAACCTCAAAGATCAGGTCAAGGGCTTGATACGTCAGGGACGTCTCAGCCGATTCACGAAAACTCACCCTCAACAGAGACAAAGGACTGAACCCATCAGAAACAACCGTCGGCGCACCCCTCCCCGGGCAACCAGTACAACCTAACCAAGGTCGTGATCGCCTTCCACAGCAACCTCGGGCACAAGGTAACCCCGCCCCACCTGTTGGAGAAATCAGAGTTATTTCCGGAGGGCTTGGTTGTGGAGGACCATCCCGCTCGGCTTAGCGGACAGAACTCAGAAAAATCAGGCAGGGCTCAGACAAAGAAGTTGTCACATTGGACCGACCCTCCAAACAACCCAAGCAGTGGACAGAGCCTATCACCTTTACGGACGCCGACTGCACAGGCATCCGTTACCCTCATGACGACCCTCTCGTCATCTCTACCCTCCTCTCCAATTACAAGGTTAGACGGGTTCTCGTCGACAATGGCAATTCTTTAGACATCATCTTCCTAAATTGCTTCCGCCAGCTCAAGATCGGGGAAAAAAGTCTGTCCCCTCTCCAAACCCCATTAGTCGGTTTCACTGGAGATCGAGTGACCTCCATTGGCTCCATTGACCTGTCCATCACAATTGGGAAATAGCCACGGCAGACTACAAAGTTACTCACCTTCCTCGTCGTCGACTGCCCCTCTGCCTACTATATCATCCTTGGCCGCACCGCCTTAAATGCTTTCCAAGCTATCACATCCACTTTCCATCTTGCCGTCAAGTTCCCCACTGACCTGGGAGTCGGCACAGTAAGAGGAGAGCAGATCGTGGCTAGGGAATGTTACGTCGCCTCACTTAAAAAGGTCAAGCCAAAGGAGGCTATGATCATTGAAGGGCTCGACGTCAGAGACGAGGACGAGCTGGTCAGAGGGGAACCGGTGGAAGAGCTCGTTGAGGTCCCCATCGACCCTACCAACCCGACAAAAACTGCCAAAATCGGTAGCCAACTATCCTCCCAAGCAAAGGTCGACCTCACTGTCCTTCTGATTGAGTACAACGACGTATTTGCTTGGACCCACTCCGACATGCCGGGTATTGACCCCTCATTCATAACTTATCGTCTCAGCATTGAGCCCCATTTTCGATCCTTCCACCAGAAGTAGCGCATCTTTCACCCGGAGCGCAACACTCTTATCGCCTCTGAAGTAGATAAGCTCTTTGAGGCATAGTTTATCAAAAATGTGGACTACCCCAGATGGTTGTCAAATGTGGTCTTGGTTCGTAAAAACAACGGTAAATGGCGACTCTGTGTCGACTACTCAGACCTTAACCGAGCTTGCCCCAAAGACAGTTATCCCCTTCCTCGCATAGACCTGCTCGTTGACGCCACGGCTGGCCATCAAATGCTCAGCTTCATGGACGCCTTCTTTGGATATAACCAAATTCTGATGCACCCGTCTGACCGGGAGCATACCTCTTTCATCACCGATTGGGGGACCTACCATTATTGTGTCATGTCGTTTGGGTTGAAAAATGCTGGGGCCACTTACCAACGGTTGGTCAATGCCGTCTTTCATCATCAGATAGGCCGGAACATGGAAGTATATGTCGACGACATGCTAGTCAAGAGCAAGCTCTCCACTAATCATCTGGCCGACCTCCGAGAGACCTTCGGCACCCTACGAAAATATCAAATGAAGCTCAATTCGGAGAAATGCGCCTTCGGCGTGGGATCTGGGAAGTTCTTGGGTTTCATGGTCAGTCAGCGTGGCATCGAAGCTAACCTCGAAAAGATCAAGGCCTTAATTGAAATGCAGTCACCCAAAACGGTTAAGGAGGTTCAGAGGCTTACTGGCCGAGTTGCCGCCCTCAACCGCTTCATTTCCCGCGCAACGGACAAGTGCCTCCCTTTCTTCAAAGTTCTTCGGCAAACTTTTGAGTGGACGACAGAATCCAAAGAGTCCTTTCAGCAGTTGAAACAGTGCATGGCCAACCCCCTCTCCTTTCTTAGGCAATAACGGGCGAACCCCTCTTCCTCTATTTAGCCGTATCAAACACTGCAGTCAGTGCATTACTCATTAGGGAAGACAGCTCTGTCCAACGACCGATCTACTACATTAGTTGGGCTCTCAGGGGAGTAGAGCAGAACTACCCATTGCTTGAAAAAATGGCCTTAGCCTTGGTCATAGCCTCAAGACGACTCTGACCTTACTTCCAGGCCCACCCCATTGTCGTCCTCACTGACCAACCGTTGAAGAAAATAATGCAACAACC